CTGGTTAAGGTTCTTTTTCAGGCTAAGGCGCTACTGTGTTCGCTCTTCAGGACCAAAGTCTCACAACCTCACTCACCAACCAACCAGAAACAAGTCCTTGGCGTTTCAAGCGATATTCATGATGCCGACGGTCACTCTTGTGGTGTGGTTTCAGTAAGCAAGGGTATCAGGGATCACATTCCCTTGACAGCTTGTCAAGCTCTCCTGTAGATAAGACTGCAACTCACCTCACCACCAGGGTAAAAATCATGTCGAGGCCTTCACGACCCCTCATCTATATTTACAGAGGTTCCGATACAACACCCTTCTATCCTCCGCACATCTCGCATGATATCAGAAAATGTTAGTTTTACATGCACGAGAAAGAAGCAGACCCCCCTCCCACCCCTGCGCGAGTGCTTCGCTGTTGAAATTCTACAAATCATCTTGCACAGCCTAGCTTCTTCTTCTACCCTTAGAATTATCCACTCTATGCGACACTGAGCAAGAAGAATAGGTTAATGTGTCAGACTACTCGGAGATTGTTCATCATACAAACACAATTTTTCGCCCTATTGTTCTTATCGTGAATGATGGGTCTTAAGCCAATATTTAACAAGCCAATATTTAATGATTGAGATAGAACCTTATTTTTACGTATACGATTCCTTTAAGTTTGATCGCACCCATAAGAGACTCTGAAAAATTTACAGTAGAGGGTTGTCTCGAAAAAATTCTGCCGCTCTTCAAAATCACCTGCTTATCTTAAAATAATTCTTGCAAATTGAATAAGTTTCGCAGGTGGCAGACGTCTTGATCTGCTGGATCGTTTAAAGTGATGACACCCTGGGGCGCCTCAATACTAAAGTGCAAATGCATTTTTTCTGAATTGAAACGAATTCATATGTAATATTGAAAAATTGTAGTGGAAACCGCTAAGTGTTTGTCTTGGAAACTTTCAACAGTTAACTAACTAGTAGCTCGTTATCTTAGAATAATTCCTCGAAATTGGCGGAATTCACCCAAGGTCGGCACCAGCCCCTATAGCACCAAGTCGACCAGTCGTTTGTACAATTCCGTGCTGTGGGCGTTGATATGGTCCCATCCGTAATTAGAGCACCCATCGTGCACAAGCCTGTTGAAGTATTCTTGTCACATC